TAACCTAGTTCCAGCAGATGCAGGTAATGTGGAGTGATCATTTCCACGGATTGCTGCTGCTCATAAGGCCTCCTGTTACTGGCCAGTTAAATCTGGCTGCAGTTTCTTATGTTCTGAAACAAGAGGCAAAGACCGGAAAAGAAGGGAGTTTATTTTTGCAACTGGTTACAGAGAAAGCATCAGCCAGGACCATGAAACTGTCTTGAGAAAAACTCAACATTTTCTCAGTATTTATAGGTATAAATACAAACCATTCCTTACTACAATCAGAGTCAATTGCTTTCCCTTAAGAAATGATCCTAATTCTGTTTTATGAGAAATAACTATTCTGGTTCCTCATCTGAGCAGTCTTCAACCAGATCTGCCAATGACTCAGCATTTGGTCAGATTGTTCTTGCTAGGGAAGAGGTCTTTCTCAATTTCAAAATGGCTGCAGTTTTGCTGGATGGCTTCATGTTGACTATCTCGAGTATTACCATTTTCAGAATGTCATACAACTAGAGTTAAATTTTATGTAGAGTTGTAAGAATGGCTTCTTTCACACAGCAACGTACATTTAAACATTAGACTTTTTATGATATGAGAGCTTATTTCTTTCTCTTGCTATATAAGCTTCCATTGTATGGGTGTAATGAAGTGTATTCACCTATGGAAGAATATCTTGGCACCTTCTAGTGTTTAGTGATGGTAAATAAAGCTGCTATATGAGTTTATATGTAGGTTTTAATGTGGACCTGTGTTCTCAGTTTAGTTGGATAACTACCTAGTTGTAGAATTGCTGGATTATATGGTAAGAAATTGCCAGATGGTCCTTCAAAGTAGCTGGGCCAGTTTACATTTTCCACGAGCAGGAAAGAGAATTCCTATGGTTCCACAGCCTTGCCTGCAATTGAAATGTTGAGTTATTTGGATTACATCCACTCTAATAGGTGTCCAGTGGTATCTCCTTGTTTTAATTTGCCAGTCCTTCATGTCTTATGCTGTTGAGCATATTTTCACATGTTTATCTTTTATCTATATAACATGTAGTAATTTAAAAAAAAAATTCCAGAGAGTCATATTTTCTGAAACACTCTGGGAAATGCTGCCCTAGTTCATTATAAAAATGCAGAAATATTTTTAGTGGACATTTTTACTAAATTGAGAGATTATGTAATGTTTCAAATAATGACCACACAAAATATCAAAATTTAAAATATTCAAGTGTCTGGGCAGTAGGTGGCATGGTGGTTAAAAGCTTAATTCCCACAAGGCCAATCACAGTTTGAGTCCTGGACATGGCGGCTTGAAAATCACGCTGAGCGTTTGTGTGTTTGCATGCCAAAAATTTGAGAGGAGAATGTAGAAGAAGGGATTGTGGCATGACCATCCACTCTGGGGTGTAACATTTTACTTTTCCTCTGTCTCTGGCAAGCTCATGTGCCCTATGTAAATAAAATAAAAAATAAAAAAAAACCTCATGGTTATTTACTATTTTATCTGATCTTCTTCAATTTTGTTGATGATATTTTGTGGCAAATCTTTAAAATTAATGTAACATAAGCAGTTTTAAATATTTCTTGAGTCTTAAAGTAAAACTATACTTATATTCATATTTTTTATTAGCACTTGGAAACATTCTCATTTAAGATAATAATCCTTATGTTTATACATGTTTAGCTGTATAATACAAAATAACATGTTTTATAGTAATGAATGTAAAACAATGACTTCATGTATATATTATATACCCAAAACATTTATTAAGATAATTTATTTTTAAGTTTTTAAAAAAGTGTATCTCAGTGAGTTTTCAAAGTCATTGAATAATAAATCAAAATGTTTTTAAGGAGCAGAATGACTCATACATTTTATTTAAAGAAGGTAGAAATGTAAACAAATCATTTTAATACAATGGTATGTTCTATAAGAATATAAAAAGACAGAGGGAAAGTAGTATGATAAGTTTCCCAAAGAGAAGAAGCTGAAACAGGCCTAATAATTTCATAAAATGCTTACTTGATATTCTACAGAAATAGACAAGGAGACTCTTCCCTGCTAAGAAGTGTATGCTTGTGCATTTCTTAAAACCTGGTGAAATACTAGAGTATTGTCTCTTACCGACAGTCACTAATGAATCTAATAAATAGAAGGCCTTAGTCCAAACAAACACATTATTCCAAATGACAGAAGTGTAAGCATGACTAATTAATGAATTTGCTAATATTTGTTTCCTACTTATGAGAACATTATACTGAGTTAGAACTAATTACCGGTACATATACTACAGAAAATACACCCAAATCTCTAAACCCAGATATTTCATGTCATACTTCATATAATGATAGCTTTTCTGTTTAAAGGTCTAATACACAAATACTAGTTCAGAATACAATAATAAATCGTGGGCACATTTATTTAACAATTATGATTTAGAATAAGAATTTTCTCAAATTTGAAAATAGGAGTCAAAGAGCTCTTCTAATTTGTGTATCTATTCATGATGTTTTTATTTTAAAGTTTATTTATTTATTTCTTTGGGAAATGCTGCCCCTTGACAGAGACAGATGGAGAGAAAGAGACCGAGAGAGAGACAGCTCTCCAACAGAGTCTCGACACTACAATGATCCCCAACCTCACCTAGCACTAGATCAAGCTCACGAGTGTGCCCAGTACACTCAGACAGGTCTCTGGACTTGAACCAGGAACCTTCCCATGTAGGATTACCTCACAGAGCCTTGTGTTTTATTGCTGAGACACAGTCAAGCCTCCCTGCTACAATTTTTTGGAAAAATGAAGTATGATACAAAAACTCTTAGTAACTCGATACTTAAAATCTTTATACAAAACTCAAGCCCAGGACCAGGCATTGAGTTATCATGGCATTTTTGTTCTATCACACTTCATCGTAAACTTTTATACACGCGTTGGAAGAACTCTGAATCCTAGACTACAACATGTTCACATTATTTTATTTTCAAAAAACAAAACATGATCATTTTACTTTTCACTTTCCCCAAAATTTAGCAATTCCCAAAACCTCTGACAGTAAGAGAGAGAGAGGCTACCTACTTTATTATGTCAAATGTTTGCCTGTTATTTATTTATTTATTTATTTATTTATTTATTTATTTGGTGTGGTTTTGAGAGAGATTTTTTTCTATAGGGCATGTGCACTCACTGGAGAGACAGAGAGACACAGAAAGACAGAAGGAGAGAAATCACCCCCTGGGGGGATGGTCACTTTGCAATCCCTTACCCTTCTTGGGATCTTAGGCACGCATCCGATGTGAGGGCGTGAAGTTTAAATCACCAGGTCCAGGATGAATTTCAGTCAACTTTGTGGGAGTCCAGTGATATGACCATTACTTCATCTGCTGGTCCCTTGGTTATTTAAGAAACAATCAACTGCATTTTTAGATGATATTCTTCATGTTTGCTAAGGAATCGGTTAGTATGCTCTTGATATACATTGAAAACAAGATGCATTTTGTGTCATCCAAATGTAGCTATTGATGATATAAATAGTTTGAACACATTTATTAAGAAAAATGATGTATTTAAAGAGAGTCGATGGGACCAGAAGTTGGCGTAATGGCTATGTTGCTGGTCTCCCATGTAGTCAACCGCCATTCGAGTCCCGAACCTGGTGGTTTAAACCCATGCTGGGCATGTGTGTGTGCGTGCCCAAGATCCCTAGAAGAGAATGGAGGAGAAGGGATTGCAGCATGGCCATTCCCCCTGTTGGGTGGTGGCGGTCGGGGGGGGGGGCGTTCTTGCGTTCTGGGGGGGTGGTGGTGGGGGGGGGGTGATTTCTTGCTTTCTGTCTCTCTGTCTCCCTCTGTCTTTCTGGCAAGTGCACGCACCCTATAGCAAAAACCTCTATAAAAGATAAATAAAATAAAAAAAAGAAAGAAAGTCGATGGATATTTTATTCTATTATGAGGGAAATGTAGAAACTATGACAGTACTCTTGCCATTTGAAACTTGAGTAGAAAGAAAAGAGAAATAATGTTTATCAAGATTTAGAAATCATACTAACTCTTGCTAGAGTAGTGTTAATCCATAGTGTGGAGTTTGTTGAAATCCAGAATAAGCAGTACATGTGAATATGCAAAATCATATTTACAAAATGTAATTTATTCACATCCTCATACTGCCCCTGTTTTTCCTCTTTTTTAAAAAAATGACCAACATACTGAAAAAAAAAAAAAAAATGGTCTTACTGGAAAGCAAAAATAATCAAGCATCTAAAGACTTGGCTCAGTAACTTTGAGAAACTGTTTCCTGTATTTTTTTTTTTTTCAGTTTTCTCCATCACAACATTAACCTAGATATCAACAGGATAATTTCAGTTATTTACTACTATCAAAAGATTAATGAGCATTTTATGACCTGTGTCGCATCTAAACAGTTCCTAGTAATCCCCCCAAGCTTCACTTCTATTTGGGACTGCCTTCTGGCTGCTCCCTCTTCATCTCCTTCTCTTGCCCTTTCATTTAATCTTAAATCTATTATTTTGCCTTTTTATAGGAACCATGTTTCCTTGACTTTTATAGACATTATTTGAAATTTATTTGTGTTTCTTTGACTTTTATAGATTCTAGTTGAAATTTACTTGTTTTGTATAGTATATATTGTGGAGACCTAGGCTATTTCTCATCTCTTGCACATATGTTTTCCTTCCCTTGTGTCGCAGAAAATTTCTTGGTTCCTTTCTTATTCTTTAAATTTATTTCTGGAATCTCTATCTTTCTCTTTATTTATGTGGAGCCTGATATGTCACTCAGAAATAAGATAATTTTTTGTTTTGTTCCTTCTTTTAGAATTCTCTCACTTTGAACTAGAAGGTGTTTGTAGATGTCTTTGGGGTCAACTGTAAAGCACATTAGCAGTTTAATCACTGAGCTGGTTGTTCTCTATTGGCACTTAGCTTTGCTTTCAACCTGCTGCGACATCTCTTCCTTTCAAGGAAGTAGAAAGCCTACAGACTTTATTTTCATCAATCCTTGATTTTTTAGGGTCTGCCAGAGGGGAATGATAATGAAGGATGGTAAGGTAAGTATGAGGAAGCAGCCCTTTTCCTCTGCATCTTGGGTGGCTCCAGAAAGGATGGCAGGAGACCGAAATATTGCTGGTGGGTCAGTTTTTCTGACTGCACATTTTTGGAATTCTCCATTGTAATCCAAAGTAGCCTGGCCATTCCACAGTCCATGTGGTCATCACTCCCACCAGAACAAGCAAATCACTTTCTGCCTCAGACTTGCCTTTAGTTCCACGCCATTTATGTGAAGTTGTGCATTTGCTGACATGGAATAGAAACAGTCCATTATTCACTGGCAATGAAGGCATAACTATCAGATGACAAGAGATTAACAACACTTGAATCCAATCCTTGAAAGCTTATTTTTGAGTCTTTCTGTTTGTTGTTGTTCCAAATACCATTTGAGTCAAAGTTTAGCTGGTATATCAAAACCACTCTAGTGATGACAAGTCATCAGGAATTCAAAGCAAGGAATTGATGGCAGAGACTTTGGCAGGACCAGCAAGCTAAAGGAAGGAGGTGCTGAAGAAGGAAAGATATTCTGACAAGGGAGGGTGTTTGCTAGCATCTAGAAAGTTCCCCTTGCCTCCCACCTGCTATAGGTATGGCCTCTGCCACTTCTGTTGCAGTTACTGTTGTTGCTTCCTGGGAACTGAGCTGCCCACTCTCCACAGATGCTATGGACACTACCGCAGATTCAGCTGAAGCCACTGTTAGAGTCACTGTGCAGACAACACAGGGATAGAGACAATGGCTATTTTCTTGCTTTTGCTAGTGTTCCCATGGGGAAAGCTGACTCCTGGGACTCTGTCCTGAAAGATTTGTCCCTGAGGGCTTACAAAAATACGTTTTGCAGCCTCTTTTAGCCCCTTAACAATACAGAGGAAAACATGGATAGGCACTGAGAGACAAAAATGTCTCACTGGCAGTGGAGAGTCTGTACAGGTCAAGCAGCAGGGGCTATTGAGGAAGGAGAGATTCATCTTTGCAAAGATTTTGCTATTTGGGACAAACATACTGAATTAACTTTAAACCCAGTGTTACTGTACCTCCTGCCAGGGAAAGATTTGATTCTTAAGATCGTCTTGTCTACCTAGACAATTATTAAGAGAACAAAAATCTTTTTTCTTTCTTTTTTTGGGGGTAATTTTGCCACAGAGAGTGTGCACTCTCTGGAGAGGAACAGAGAGAGGAGAAAGTGAGAAAGCACCTACACAGGGTTTGGTCATGCCACAATCCCTTCTCCTCCATTGCTTCGTCCTGTTGAGATTCTGGGTATACATGCACCTGTTCCCAGCATGTTTTTCAAGCAGTCAGTCCAGTACTTAAAATGTACTATCAGCCATGTGGGATTTACTTGCCTTAACCAGTATGCCACCAGCTGGCTCAGCAAAAAATCAAAATCTTTTATCCCAAGTAAAAACTGTTTTTCCTAGGGCTGCTGCTATCACCACCAAATGCTCCCTGCATTGAGCTGGTTCCATAGCCCAGGAGAAGCCAGTTTCCATGGGGATGACTAAGGTTCAAATCCTGGCCCTGTGACTTACAAAGCATGCCTGCCGGGTGTGGTGTGCATGGAGGCCTAGGATCAACAGGGTGGGGATTGGAAAAACAGCTTGTGGGGTGACAGGGTACCACTGATGGGAGGGCTGATTTCTTTCTCTTTCACACAAGCACTCTGGCATTAAAAGAGAAAAAGAAGAAGAAGAAGAAGAAGAAGAAGAAGAAGAAGAAGAAGAAGAAGAAGAAGAAGAAGAAGAAGAAGAAGAAGGAGAAGAAGAAAAGGAAATTGTTTGTGTAAAGTATAATTGGACAACCATTTGAGTTTTTAGGTCTAATTCTGATTATCATCCATTTCTGTGTTGAAGAAGATTCTTAAAAACTACCACCTGCTGCTACAAGCTTTCTGTTAGACACAAAAAGGAGACACGACTCCACTTAACACCACCACAGGCTTTCTCATTGGGACCGAAGCCGTAACAGCTCTTCTGCAGTGACATAGGCTGACCTGTGACAATAAAGGCACTTCAGTTGAAATAGTTCCTCCGATTCTCAGGGGTTGCTCCCATTTCAGCCATTTCCCTATCAAAGGTGCGCACAGGATGTAGAACCTTCTCTGGATTATCTAGAAGAGAAGGCGCATTCTTTCAAAAAAGAGATTTAAAATTTAGGCTGGTGAGTTAATAAAAAGTTCTTTTTAAAAAATCAGTAAATTACAGCATGTTTACTGTTTTAATTTAAATCACACAGTGGTAAAATTCAGTGTTGTGGTCATTGAATAATAGTGCTGCTTGCAGTTTATCATCTGGAAAAGAGTATTTGAACTTAAGATTATCGATGATTTTTAAGAACTCTGAAATGAGAGCTAGGCTGAGATTTGAACTTCAAAAGCATCACCTTAGATGATTGAGGTTTGCTCTTTAAAGTGTGTGGGTCATTTCTTCTCCTACAGTTGTTGTCTAGCTCCTGAAATCTGAACAGTAACTTATAAAGATGACCTCAACAACGTTCTTACGTATGCAGAAATCTAGCAATAATGAAGTTATAACATATTTTATTGGGTTCTTGCAGTGGTTAGGCATCCTGCCAAACACTTTATATACTCCCTTTAACTCTTCCCACAATCTTACTAAAGAAGTATTATCATTTTCTAGAACAATATTTGAAATTTGCTGTCAGTTTTTTAACTCAATGACCTTAGGCAAGTTTCTTAAATTCTCTGTTTTTCAATCTTCAATCTGAAAAAATCTGGAAAACAAAACCCAGTGTATCTATGTGATGGGGTGACACAGAATGTATAGAATGTTAACGATAGTGTGGCACAGTGTATTTTCCTGTTTTTAAAAATTGTTAGGCATCTCCTGAATTGATATCTCTGTCATAAAAATGTTGTACTGATGATTACATTATAGAAAACTTATTTTTATCTTGGAGAATCTTAATTCTTGAGATACAATACATTTCTCTTCATGTTTAATGATTACTTCTATACTAAGAAAATGAACAGTAGCATTACTACTATAAATTTTAAATGGACCACAGCTACCTCCATCATATTTAAGTAAACCACGGTTGGTGAAGGTCTATACCATCACACAATTACATGCATTCAAAATTAAGCATTTTCTTTCTCAGCTAGCTTCCGTCAGGATCCCGGGAGTCAGCTCTTTTATTGTTCTGTTGCTGAAAATCATAAACTGGATGGGATACAAAACAGTGACCAGAACACCCGTCTGGACTTAGATGTTCCGTTTAGGATTACTTCTCTATATTTATTAGGTCTGTGACACTGAGCACTCGTTACCTTTATATCTTCTTCCCAGGAAACTTTGGTGGGCTGTGAGGAGGCCAGGGGACCTTTGTGACCATTTATCATGCACTGATGTTTCTTCCATCTGTGGACGTAAGGACTTGGCTATTCTTATTACTAAAGAAAACCAACGAGACTTAACCTGTTCCCTTCCCGTAAGATGATTTATAACAAAGGAATAGATACATAGAAAATAGTTTTTGGTCTTCTTTCCCTTGACTATATCATTAGAATTTCTCTTCTTTTGTCCACTGGTCAGTGATACAGACATTAGAGACAAGAGGCAGCTCTGTGTCCCAAGTGAAAAAGAAAAAATACGATAATTACATTTTTATATCTTTCTTCTTTTCCTTGTCTCTTCACTTCTGTGATAAAGTGTGTGCACTCATCAGAGACAAAGAGAGACAGAGAGAGAGAGAGGGAGAAAGGGAGAAAAATAACCCCCTGGGTGGGTTTGGCTATGACACAATTCTTTTTTTTTTTAATTTATTTTACATTCATTCACTGTATATCATTGCAGCATACAAAATGAATTTTTCTCATGCAAAATACACTGTATATTGGCTCAATCCAATACCTGTTGGAATTTTCAGCATGTACACATATGCGCCCGGCAAGATTTTCAAGTTTCTGAATCTGAGACTCCAACCATGTAGTCAGGTTTGTGACATCCAGCACCTGAACTTCACCCCACCTACTGGCCTTTGTATTTTGGATTTCTTTACTGACAATCTGAATACAAAAAGAGGAAACAACTCAACCTAGTGGTCAAATGATGAAGAAGTTTTTGGCCATGAAATTAGACTGATAGAAAATTTTGCCTGTCACTTTTAGGACAACAAAAAATTACCAGACAACTTTAAAACAGTTCATAGATAGAGTCTTTCATCAATAGAGGAATGAGAAACCAACATTGCTAATATCTCTTGAACAATACTATCTAGAGAAACATGGAAGAAATTTGCAGGCTGAATTTTATTTATTGTCTTAAATGAATCTATTTTATACTGTGTAGGCTGGAAAGAAGATATTTTTTCCCCAATTTTGGTAAAAACTCACCAAACATAAAACTTAGAAAGATTATAAAAATATTAACTGAAAAATGGTTCACTAAAATATGCGGCAGTTCTAATGTAATGTGTGAACAAAATTATCTTTGAAAATCTTGAAGCTACCCCCAAGCTATGATTTTAGACATTTTATACATTTAATGATAATTTTGTATACACAGTTTGTGCCTTGACATGCGTGTATAAATTTAATCATATAGGAACGAGCAGTTAGCATAATGGCTATGTCGCTGGACTCCCACGTAGTCAACCGCAGTTTGACTTTAAGTATCCCGGACCCTGTGGCTTAAAACTCACGCCGGGCGTGTGTGCGTGCGTGCCCAAGATCCCGAGAGAAGAACGGAGGAGAAGGGATTGCGGCATGACCATCTCCCCGGGGGTGATTTCTCACTTTCTGTCTCTATGTCTCTGTCTGTCTGGCGAGCACACATGCCTTATAGCAAAAACCACTCAAAAAAAAAAAAAAGAATTATAGTCAAAAGGTGGGAATATGTCAAAGGAACAAATATGTATGTACAAGTATGTGTGCTAAGTCAGAATTATTGCAGAGCAGGTACGGTAAGAAAACTAAGTAAGGCCTCTCACACAAAGGTAGTGGGAAGAGGTTAAAGTGACTGATATGTGAGATTT